TGTCAGTGCACTCTTCTTACAAGGGGTAAGGAAGCCTTTCTAAGCCAGCACCCTTCTTGGCTGCCCCAGAAGAAACAGCTCTGCTGTGGTACTGCACTTTGAGATAGCAGGGATCTGCAGCCCACTGTCCCAGGTCCAGATGGATTTTCACATCTTCCACGTTTGGAAACTGAAACCTCTGCTCCCTCTTAAGAGCTAGAACTAAGAACAAGGGATCTGTCCCTTTTCTGAACAGAAATAGGACAAGAGGTAATGGCCTTAAATTGTACCAGAGGAGGTTTGAGTTGGGTATTAATAAAAGTTTCTTCTCAGAAAGAGTGGCAGTGCACTGGAGCATGCTTCCCGAGGAGGTGGTGGAATCACCATCCCTGGAGGTGTTTAAGAAACATGGAGATCGGCATTAAGGGACGTCTTTTAGTGCGCATAGTGGGGATGGGTTGATAGTCAGACTAGATAATCTTAGTGGTCTTTTTCAACCTTATGCTTCTATGAAATCAATATATGATTTGGTCTTATCTGGGAGATTTCTTAAGGTTAACTCAGCAAGCTGAGCCTGTTTATTTAAGGTTCCTTGATGCGTCTCTTGTGATAGCACCTCCCAGAGCTGTATTAATCAGCATTGGTTTGGGCAACCCCAGGCTGGATGTGAATGTCCACAGTAAGCAGCTGTTTGTGGGTTCAGACCGCTGTAATCTCATGGCTGAGGCACTCACCACTGCACCTACTGCTAGGGGGGATGCTGTGAGCTGCTCTGCACTACAGAGAACTGGGCCAAGCTGTGGTTCCTTGCCTCAGGGGAAGCACTGGAGGGATTTGTGCACATAAATAGCATGTGGAAAAACAAGGGCAAATCAATAGCAATCAAATGATATAGTCTGCATCCTCACTGAAGAGCCCCAGTGAAAATGACAGGATTTGCAAACCATACATAACAGCTAGCAGAGCTTTGACTTCAGCTCATGTTTTTGGATGTGACAGTGATGCTCACACGGGACCCTGGTGTGGATTTAGCTACTGGCTTACCTCTGCTGTGTAGGTACTACTGCTTGAAGAAAATGCATTAATTCTGGCACATGACCTTCAGTTTGTTCTCAGTCAGCACACACCTGCTGCTAGAAGCATGCTGCTGTAGTTGGGTTCTACCACCAGGACAGCCTGGTGCCCCAGGCAGAGCCAGACCTGTCTGAGCGCTGTGAGAGGTGGCAGCTCCACACCTTCCCCCTGCCCAGGCTCCCATGGAAGCTATGGTTTCAGTTGCTGTGACACACATCTTGCACAAGCAGCTTCGTGAAGAGCAAACCAGTCACCAGACCACCTTTGTGAGAAAAACATCTAAGAAGCTTTCCTCCCGGTCACCATTCAGCAGAGCCTGTTGCAAACCAGTTTCCTTCTCTGCTGCCTCCTGTATGTTCAGTGCAACCTGCAGCAGAGCAAAACTTAGTGTAGGTATTTCCAGCCACGTGACTGACTGCTTGCGACTGTCACATGTAGAAGGAGTGTGCCCTGCTGCTTTAGCCAGGGCTATTCTTAGCAGGCAGGCAAGGAATAGAGAGGCAGTGCACATACTCCAACTTCTGTTATTCGCAGATTGAGTCACTTTTTGGCACCCTCGCTAAAGAACTTGGCTCACAAACTGTTTGCTCCTCTCCTCAGAAGCGCTTGTACCACGCAGCCATTCCACATGGCACAGGCTGCAGCACCATGCCATCCCTGGGGCACTCAGAACAATGTTCACCAGTGGGACAGCCCTATGGCACAAGCTGATGTTTTCAAAGAAAAGTGGAGCTTGCTAAGATGCACTGAAAATTACTGAGAAGGAAAAGAAGCTCGCCTAAGTATAAATATACTTATGTATTTGAACACCATATACATTCTAGTTTGGCCTAAGTGTGATCTAGTACAGAAAGAGAGTTGTTGTTTTGCAGAAATCAAGTGATAATACTTTGCACATGCGTTTATTGCCTTCTCTCCCCAACTTCTGCTCTTGTTGGCAAGTCAAGGTGCCAGGCACTTCAGGCATATCTCCTAGAGCAAAGCCAGCACAGCCTCGCTCCTCAGCAGGAGCCAGCTCCCTTCATGGTCCTGGTGCTTATCTTGGAGCACAGCAGGATGGGGGAGGACACCATTCATCTCATGCCTGCAGAAGCACAGTGGTAGCGACACTTGCAGAGCCCTTTAGATTGTAACACACAGTTAGGAAACAAGCATGAAGAGAAAAAAATAATCACATTTTTCCCCCCTTGTTCAGGATATGCTGGTATTTCCTCCTAATGAAAATAGGCTTGCAAACATTCTCTTTTCCTCATTAAAACAATTTTTAATTACAATTAATATACTTATTATACTTAATATCTGGAATCTTTTGAAAGGTGCCATTAGGATACAGAAATCTTAACTTTTACTTAAGCTCCAGAGGGCTCTTTGGGACAAGGCTTGTGATGAAGCTTCACACAGTAGCATCAGTGCTGCTAACTTCCTGGCTCCCCACTGCCTCTGGCTGCACACCAAAGGGGCCTCTGCCTGCTCAGGTACCTCTGAACATTTTGTGGTAATTCCCTCGAGCTTCATCCTCCACTCTCCTTCAGAGTACTGGTAAACTTAACTGCTTTCCCCTTCATTTACTGAGAATCCCTTCTCAGGCTGCAGTACAGACAGTAACTTTGTTGTCTGCTGCTCATCTGCTCTGCCCCTCTTCTTTTCAGGGTTATTGCCTCTAATTACAGCCAGCAAGGCAGACATAGATTGAGCTCTGGGGAGTTCACTGAGCAGAGGAATGGGAGAAAAAAAGCTAATCACTTTTTGTATTTAAACTGGTCAACACTTCTTTGCAAACAAACATTTTCATTAAACATACCTCCTTCCAAAATGGATCTGTTTGCCCTGGCATACCAGAGCTTGAAAAAACCCATCTGAGAAACTAATGACATTCAGGGAAAAAACTCATCTAGGTGGCTGGTCAACAGTTTTACGCTTGTCAAGTGACTGCTGTGAAGTCCACTGATTTCCTGTCACAGCATCAAACTCCAGTTTGACAGAAATGGAAATTATTTGAATTATTCTAGTATTTGGCAGCTGCTTAGAAATCCAGGTGGAACCAGTCACAGTTTATTATAGATGAGAGCAAAAAAAAACCCAAACAAAACAAAAGAACAAACCCAAAAAATTACAAACTACAAAAACAAAATCCAACCACCATTCTATGTAGCCACAGACACAAGACAGCAGCTGTAATCTTTAATTATTATCTCTCCCAAAAGAGTTAGAAGTATATGCACGCTATTATACTGAATTCACGTTCTATGTATCAACTATCTTTTGTTAACAATACTTCTTTCCTTTTTGGAGGAAAAGCTCAACACCAATCTTACTTTCACATGTATGCTTTAAGAAATCAGTCCAAAACTTTTTTTTTTTTTTTTTTTGTGCAAATAATGCTCAGTTGTTGTGAAATACTTTGACAGCTCTATGGAAGTCTGAGATTAGCCATTCAATAGACATCTCAAATGATGAGCAGTCCATCAGACTGGCACCTACACATTTAACAGGTAAAAATAAACTGTTTCCTTGGAATCAACAAGAAGCTCACCAGAGACAGAGCCAGGATGCAATGACATAGTAAACAGTTTGCAGATACTGGAGATATTTTAACGACCCTTGCTTAACCTACTGTGCTAATAGTTTCTGTTCTGTATCAGGTATCCTTGAGAGAGTTTTGAAAGTAAACCTGAACAAAAAATAATCATGATCTCAGAATGACAATCTGAAGCTAGTGATTCCAAATTCTCTCTAATGAGAGCATAAGCCAGCCAGAGGTGCTTCATCTGATTTTTAACACCAGGCTAAAGCCCATCTGCGTAAACTGTGTTTTATTTCTTCTCATTACAACATCTGGCTCTGGCTCTGTTTCTGGTTCTGTTTTCAGTAGTTGCACAGAGAAGTGCAAGCTATGGTGGAGGGAATAGATTTTCATTCCAAGTTCACATCTCTAAGTAGTCTTGTAACATCCTGGGAAGCAGGCAGTCACGTTCTCTGGAAGCTTTCCCAATCCATGTTTACACCACACAAAGCATATACTTGTTTAAGGCTTCCAAAACAAGGTTTATTGGCTCCCACAATGTTAGACCAACAGGTGCCGTAAGTGCGCTGCCACTGGTACACCGGGCCTTGCTGCCTCCAGTTCCACTTTCTGCATGAAAGTTTTGGTTTTTTTTCAGAAAGCTGTCCTGCCACATCCACTTCTCTTTTTGAATCTCCTATTGAACAACTTATCGTAATAACACAGTGACAAAGGGCTTCTTATTAAGGACTTTCTAAATTACCAGGTTGATTGAGATTATCTAATTTCGAGGGAGGTAAACAAAGAACTTTCCAGCAGTTGAATACATCTAAAAGTGCATCTGGCTCAACACTAATGGAAGTGTTTCAGCTGGGTTAAGGTCTCAAAAGAGACTTCATAGTTGCCATTTACAAGTATAATCGTATAACTCCAGGGCAGCAGTATACCTGGTATACTCTTTAAATATCCCCCCCCATAGGAATGAGTTTCCTGTACATCCTTTCAAGTATTAGGTGGCTGAAATCAGTAACTGAAAGCAGGAACAGGTTGAGCGCACAAAAAAGCATGTACAAATTTCAGAAGTTAATTTCACTTTCAGCTGAAGATGACTGAATGTCTCCAGGTGTGGCAGTGAGCAGTGATGCAGTAAATCAAGTCAATACACAAATCAGTGGGAAAAAAACAAGGTGTTGAAACCTGTCCTGTCAGAGCTAGCTGAGTTCTTTACAAGACATTTTCTAACTTGTTATTAGCAAAAATATTGAAGTGATTTGCCAAAGCAAAAAATCTGAGGCAAACTGATACACCACCTGTTTTTACACCAGTAAAACATAGCTGTGGGAAAAAGCAACCCTACACCCCAGACTGCTCAGGTATACTACTATGGTCACAGCACTAACAGAGATAACAAATCCACCATTTTACACATGAAGTAAAACAAACATTTGCCATCTTTCAAATATTTTATTTTAGTACTTTTAAATATGTTTTAATACAACAAAGATATAAAACAATATATTAATTCAATCTGAGTTTATAATCAAACAATATTTACTTATTTACAATACTTGCTTTAAACTTCACTGGCATACCTTCTAGCCATTACATAATACTATTTTCTCTGTCATAGACAAATTAAAGTAACTGCTCAGCGTGAAAACTCATTTTCCTATATCCCTATTATGTTATGGAACATGTACAATGCAGTTTGTGCTTACTCACATGTGACAAGTTTTTCATATTTGACAAAACCAGATTCAAAGAGACAGCAATATCAACTTGCACATTGTCTTCAACTACATAATCACTGGGCTAACACATCAGGTTACTGTCCTCCACATTCATCATCTGAAGTTCTTACACTTATTACAAACTGGTTTTAAAAACATGCACGTCACTGAATTATGTACATAATGCTCACTGCACCTCGCTCGAGATACAAACAGTAAGTATCCAGGAAACTGCTATAAGCAAAGTTCAGAGTTCACAACAGCATAGTGCTCCAAGGGCTGTGAGGGTTTTTTTTTTTGGATGCTCTTCTCAATACAACAAGCAAGATAACTGCACAATCACTCCAAAGGCCTTTTCTCTACCCCCACCCCCCCAAGAAACACAGTTTCAATTAAAAAAAGTGGCAACGTCAAAGATGCATCAGAAAGAGTGAAGTCTATTAATCATCAGTGGTCTAGCAATCCTTGTTTCATACTCTATATGCACAAAATAATTCAGAGGACAAGCTGGCTCACTGCTAGGAGTTCTGCTGAATTGACTTTGTACTTAAAGATTCTGGTGTTTTCTATAGTTACAGGTCAAGTTTTTATAAAGAATCCTAGATTATTAAAAAAGTAAAATCAAAAAGCCACAGAAGTAATACTACCTGCAAATTCCAACAAACTCCCCAACTTTACAGTATAAACCATGGACTGGACAGATGAAATACTATTTGTCACTTATTACAAACTACTTCTCTTTTGCTTCTCATCCGAAAAACCTACTTTTTTTTCTTTTTTCCCAAAACATCTTCTATTTCTTCAATCGGATACTTAATGATTACATTTCAGCTCCACAATAGTTTTGATGCTTGAAAACCTCAGTGGACTTCAGTAGACCAAAAACCTAGCTAAATGGTAATGGACAAGTGGAGCACCTAAGTGTGCAAGTGTTACTAAAAAAACAAAAACAAAAAAAAAAAACAACCCACAAACCCAACACCAAGGAGATACTGACTGTTGCAAAGACTTCTTTTGATGTCCGAGTTCTACCCTTCCATCTTCTCTTTAAATATTTTCTTTGGTACTGCATGAGAAACTACATGAAGTGCCCTCATACAGAAAATAGGATCCTAGGAACCTGCACTTCAGTGCTTGTTGGAGGATTTCAAGTATTTCTTCATAACATTTAACATGTTTTTTTTCTGTTCTGAATTTTTTATTTTTTTATTTTAAAAAAAATGTTGTTCTCTCAAGACAGTTAGATACAAATTTATTGGAAATTCCACTGGAATGTTTTCTTTGATAGCAGATAAGGGGAAAAAAAGGAAAAACTGAAAAGAAAGTGACATTACCTACTCCCATTACTTTATCATACACAGGATGCACTTGGCCTAATCCAAGGAAATGCATAAACTAAAATGACAACCCTCACTAAAATCAGAATATTTAATGACTTGCTTACACATTTAATCTTACAATTTGCTTCACCACGAGCAGTATACTTACAGGATCCAATTCTTGCTAGTCTTGAGCATTTGAAAACTACCTACATTTCCATACCAAAGCTCTGCATTAGTGTTATCTTGTTTGCCAAAGGACATAAAAATAATTAACACATATGGAAGTTTTTAATATCATTATTCAAGAACAGCTGAAGTCCAGGAAGGCCAATCTAAGAAGCTGTCATGAGGTACATGGAAGATGAGTTACATGAGTGGCTGTGCCTATCACCTTCAGGTCTGTGCACACGTACACTTATTTTCAGACATTCCCTACATACAACACCAAAGTGGTAACAAGGAAGATCTTAAGACTACTTTCAAGTTCCAAGTATTACTATATTTCCAAAGTTGCTAGATAAAAGAAGCAAGGGAGTACTCCCACAGACAAAAGAAGGTGACTTGGCACAAAAGGGATGCAGCAAGCTGAAAGCGAGCAGAAACTGGTGCACCAATGCAAGGGAGGACAGACGGCCCTCAACATACTTAGCATTAAATCCAAGTCTCAATGATGCTCTGCTGCCATTTCCTCAAAAAGGCTTGTCAGCAGCAGAGTAGCAGCAAAATGCTTTTAACACACTGACTGCAGAGAAGAGGTACAGAATTTTAAGCCTGTCAGTCATTTGCAACTTGTTTCCACCTCATTAACAATAAACCTTTCATAACCAGCTCTTCAGACTGACTGTGATCTTTTAGTACATTAAATCAGAATTTCTGTCTTCTATCAATTTCAAGCTTTCCTCTTCTGTGATTCCAGATAGACAAAATGAACTTCCAAGACAGAAGAGCACAGTTACCCTGGCAGTGTTCTAATACGCTTCAGTTCTCACCAAACCAACCTCTATTTATTACTTATCTCAGATATTTAGCAGCAAGCAAAACAGCTTGAACAGAATAACAAACTTCCTTTAAAGAACACTAATAGGCAACGTTGATTTAAAACATGGAAGAGAATCTGAAAAATTAAATTAGAACAAAAAGAGAAGCCTTATGTTTCAAAGAATCCAAACTTCATTTTAAAAAACGTTGAAATGATAGCTCTACTTTATGTAAACATTGTTACACGGGGCTGCACTTGAAAATTCTCCTGTATGCCTAAATTGCAAAATATTTTTTTTCAATCTAGACACAGCTGTGCCAGCTAGCACTGACATGTTTCTTGTCAGAATCAATGGCTTTGCAAGTCTAATAGCATACACCTCCACATCAGAATTCAGAATACAACCCTGCACATCCTGAGAACAGATCCTTTGCTAGAGTTTAAAAAACAGCATTTTTTAACTGCACGTGCATTGCAAAGATAAATTTAAGTTAACAAACAGAGCTCTTTGATTATAAAGTCTCAAGAGGAATGTTCAAACTGCCTTTCTGAAATCAGAAAGATAAGGACAGCAAGTGAATGTCTTTCAGAGTTTTGGTTTTTTTCCCCTTAAGCGTAAGCGTATTTCACCAATCTGGATGGCAAGAGCCACAAGGCTATGGCAGACTGAACAATACAGAATTCTTGAAATTTTACTAAAAATTGGAATGTTACAAATATAAAGTCTGCAGAATAGTATGATCTATGTGTACTCATTACAGGTGGCAGAGATACTTCAAGACGCACAATTTCTCTGTGAAATAGGAACTAAATTAATTTACAAAAGTAATACATCACAAAGAGTGCACAATGGGCAAGACGGTGTAATCCAGGTTTGTGAAAGAAATACACAGCAGAGAAGTGCAAAATTCCAAAATTTCTTCTCTATGCAGACATAATGGTCATCAAGACAGCTTGAACTAAGCCAGAACTAATCCATGCTACTTTCCAAGTCTGACTTAAGCCATGACATGCCACCTACAACAGATTAAAATGGCTCCATCATTTTTATGGCTTGCACCTTTTACCTATCAATCAGTTTTCATTGAGAATAAATGTGTTTCAAGCCTCTACAGTCAACGTCAGTGTTGTCAACGTTAGTGTTGTCCACTCACAAACCACTGAATAAGAGATCACTATGTAATCCTTGCTTTCACATTACGGAGTGTGCTATTTTTTAACAACCCAAACTCAACTGCTTATGGTACTTCTATCTTTCAGAGTAGCAAATGAGCAACTTAATTAATAACTAGTCTCTTTCATATTTGTTAGAAGAACATATACAGTGTATGTCTTTATATATATATATATAAAATGTATGGTGTTTGTATATCCCGAGATATCTGCCATGTTGTTGACACCAGAATGCTACAAAGCACATCAATATGAACACTACTTCCTAAATTCACTATTATTACTCCTCTTGAAACAGTTACTACATGCATTTTCCCCATCCATTTATGGGACAGTAAGATATGCGAAATTGTTCTGTTCTTCCAATGTTAAAGAGCTGCTCCTAAAAAGCATGCACTGGTCTGAGTATAAAAAGCAATTAAAACCACACAGAAAAGTTATGCTGTGGCTTTAAACACGCTAAAGCTAAATTAACTTTGCTTTTAGTGTCTGTAACATTTACTTTAACTCATTTATTTAAAACCAAAGGGAAGACTTGCCAGTGCTAGAACAACCATACAGATGACTGATAGACTAGACTAAGTAAGCTCTCATTAAAAAACAAAACAAAACAAAAACATCATAGCCACAAGGCAGACTTTCATTTTTGGCAATCTGTACGCAGACCATTTATACTGTCAGTTACACATTAAGACTTGTTATCAAATAACAAAGTTAAGAGACCATTTTAGCATGAACTATATTGCTTTCCTCATTATGACACAGTACTCCTCAATCTTTAAGCACACACGTTTGTTTTAATAATTAAATTTATGACTGTTTTTAAGAGAAAGTCATCATAAAGTTCTAAATTTTTAGTCAGTATACAGGAAGGATGGCATGTCAGAGAATGGAGATTAACCGAGCCTGTAAAGGGTATATCATATTCAGCACAAGCACACATCTGAGGTTAAAGTTACTTAAACATTCACACAGAACCTTACTAAGGGTAACAGTATTCTGGTTCTTATTCACCATTCGCTGACTGCCTCTCTACCAGACCCTGCACTGTTTTCTCTTAAAGCAACAACAAAACACATTCCTGTGAATTGTGACAACCCCATTCTATGGCTAAAAATCTAAGAAACAAGACAAGGAGGCGTTGGCCACAGAATGAAAAAACATTGCTTTATAACCCCTTCAGATAGCCTTGCAGGGTCTTAGCCATAACACTTTATAAAAATCTGAATTGACCCACATGCTCTTCAGCCAATCAGTCTTTTCATTATTGTAGGTTTTGAAAATGGCCAGCAGTACTCATTGGGAACAGTACCATTAACGTTGCATTCAAAAAAAGAAAACATTGGAAACCAGATCCTTGCTCTTCTACTCTGTTGATATGCTCTAGTATTAGCCAATGTGTGGTAATACAAAAAGAGTCTTGTAGTGATGTAAAAGGCAATGAAGACATCTATAGAGTAATGTTCATGTGCAGCCAAAATGAAGAATATTCCAAAGAGGTTGAGGACCCAAGACAAGGTGTGCAAGAAGTTCCAGCTCCTTGGCGTATCTAGGAGAAAACAGAGTAATTGACCTGAAACGTCTCAAAACTCTGGGTCACTTCTCAATCCAGGCCTAGATCCAGTGAATTTATATGCGTTGTTTGTTTTTTATCTAAAAAAGTATGAAATTATTGTCTTCATCTACAAATCTTGCTTATGTTTCACAAGTCAAATAAATTCAATGAGAACATGTTATACATGTCAAGCATTTCATTAATGCTTTACAAATACAGCTGTCATTCTTTTCTGAGTTAACCAAGTATCCTAAAATGTTTTAGGATCGTGTAAAGCAGAACTTAGCCCAAACAGCTTCTGTTAATGAAAATGCCTCTTCTATGCATCAGGGAGAAAAATATCATAAAGTATAGATTTTTCTGTTATTCCAGTCATTCCTTCAAGCATGAACTCAAACTAATTATCTTAGATTGCTATGTACTGCATTAAATCACAGTTCATATTTACAAGACAGTACTCTTTTATATATTCTTACTTACGTGAGGTTTTGTATTTCATTTTTGTGGATTATATCAAAGGCACACCTAGCCTAAGATTTTACTTATAGGTTGCTGACAGATATCAAGGGAAGTGTATAAGTAGCAGAAAATGATTAATAACTTCTCTAGTATTCTCCCATCAGCAAGCTACAAAGCCTTTCTATAATTTCTTGGCTTGCTTGGTTGGTTTTTTTTCAGATGTATCCTATTTATCCTTCCATAAATTGATGTGGTACTGTTTCTTTTCTGTCTGCAACTGAACCACCACAAACCAGAGAAAAAGCAGAGATCTGAATTTGTTAACTTTAATGTTACTCTACGCCTTTGGCTGAGGACAAGCAGAAAAGAACACTTAAGGACATTTAAGTATTTACACTCGTGCACCTTTGGTTGACAGCAAGCAGTACAAATTCTTAACACTTCAGCACATTTAAATATTGACACTGTGTACTTACATTCGGTGACAAAGAAGTTGAGCATGGTCAGAACAACAGTGTGGCCACTGAACATATAATCTCCACATGTATGTACTCCAGTAAGAGTCATTCCAAAGCCACTCCATATTGCAAATGCCCGCTGGAGTTTTGCCCAAACATTGCCATACAACTACGTGCAAAAGACAGTAATATTAACCTTTAGTAAGTTCCTATCCTGCACTAACAGTACATCCTTCAAGTTATACCACAGATAACTAGAAGCTAGCTCTCTAGTACTATGTGTGGTTAGTAGAATTGATTCTTTGGGTCTGTTATTAAAGTACATGTTAGCACATCACTGTCTTTTATTGTGGTGGTGAGTTCCATTAGAAATGTCAATTACTGCCTCTGATTAATCCTGGCATTTAGAGCAAGTATTTTGTTGCAAGTCAATTACATACCAAGTGTCACTTGTTTTTTTCCCTGAACACATTCTACCTCATACTGTATCCCTGTCAATCTTCTACTATTCAGCTCAAATTTCTAACTAGAAACTAAGATAAAAATATGAAAACCCACATTAAAAAGAATATTTCTTCTTAGAACACTAATATTTTGTTCCAAACTGTGCACCCAACAAGATGAGGAAGTGATTACTCCACCTTCTAGTTTTTCTAAGTCAATATCTTAAGTGCATATCTCTCTGAAAGATTCTCTCCAGTTTATGTTGTGAAATATTCTTAAAAGTTCCCCTTTTCCCCTTACCAAGTGTCTCTCCTCCTTCCAAAACAGCAAGTTTTAAAGACTCCTACATGTGCAATACCTGCATAATGGCAACAAATGAAGGGGGGCGGAGAGGAAAAGAAACATGCTGATCTCACCAATATACATCTAACACAATAGCCACTACCATCTTTATCATGATTTAGATAACATTTTTTCAAAACCTTTTTAAAAAGTAAACTGGAGAAAATTTCAAGTGTTTCATGCTTTTACCTTTCCAGTACATTGCAAGTGCTGGCCTGGCACAGAGAGTGAGGTAACAAACATTGTAACACAACGTAGCAAGAATACTGTCCCCATAAGGCTGCACAGCCTTCGCAGAAGTATAGACCTGGGAAGAATACACAGAAACTGATAGTAAGAATCCCAATGCATTGTGTTTTTATGCTGGTAACACTTTCTCCCACCTCAGCTTAATTTCCACAAAGCTCCAAATCACTGGATTTTACTTGTAAGCAGTACCATAAAGGCAACACTCCACATGACAGTGTGAGACAATGGAGCAAGCCAACAAAAGCCCTACAGCCCCACTCCTCTGCATTTACGTTAGCTGCACCTGTACTAGCTTTGGCACTCATGTCTTCTGTTGATGAACTGATAAAAATGAACAAAATGGTGAAAAGTTAACTTATAATAGGCACACACACAAATGGGTTTTCTACACTTCAGTGACAGCAAACTGCTACACTGGCTCAGTCATCCTGTGGAATTTCATTCTCAGAATGAACAGAATTGTCACAGCATGAGAATATACAATGGTGAGTCCCTGAAATATGCATGCTCTGCAGGAAATGATCTGCACGTCTGATAGAAAAATAAATTCAAATTGCTCCATAATTTTCACAACTCAACATTCTTGATTAAATCCACTCCATTCTAACAACATACTAGAAGCTTACATGTTATTAACTGTAAAGTCTTAAACATTCCTCACATTCTAAGGAGTCCTCAAACTCCTTCCTCTAAACCACATTACCAGTTACTTGCCTTGAATATATACACTGTACCTGTGTTTGTGAAGCAGAAGAACCAACAGCCAAATGTAGCAAAGAATTACACCACATACTTCAGTCATAGCAAATGCCCATGGTATCCTCGGGACACTAAAAAGAGATGAAGCAAGAAAGGTTGAATACAAAGGCTTAATTTTTCTTTCTAGTCCCAGCATTAAAACAAAACAACAAACCATGTAAGGTTCTAACTACAAAATTAACTTGCATTACTCTCGCAATAGTTTAAACAACAATCAAAATTACTGTTAGGCTGAGTGAAATATAGTTTCAATTATTTTATAATTCAATTATTCCCTTTCTACTCCTGCATTTTCAAGAAACACTCACATGGAATTCACCAAATGAAAGAAAATCTCAACTGTGCTCACTTAATTTACATGATTTATTAATAGGATGTGTTCTTTTACCATTGTTTCTCTACAAACTGTTCTGACACAAACTTGCACCACACCAATTATGCTTGTAAGAATGCCATGTCAACACAACTAATGAAATCCTGCAAAGCTTAAAACTGTAAGTACTTGTAATGAAACAGAACTAGAAGGGCATTAGGAAAAGTATAAATTCCTTTCAAAGGTAGATTTCAATGATAATCATGTATGCAAACCATCTAGCCTTGCTGTCCAAAAGATTCAATTCTTGCATACATGTTGCACTAGCAATGATTTCCACTCTACATCCTCACCAAAACAGAGGCTATCAGTTTTCAGTTGTGTGTTCCCTTTGGTACAAAAGGGTAGCAAAGCACTGCTCAAATGCTTAGATCTGTAGTGATCCTCTTTTTGTTCAGTGAGCTGCTTTCTCACCCATCCTCTCACCCACTGAATACTTTGGAATTTGCCCTGGGAACAAAATCCAGCAATGCCACTGCTCTCATTTCTTTTCACTTTGTTTGATGAGGACCATCCTGGACGAGCTATATATATAATTCATGGAGATTCTGTACATTGCCTCAAAGGATGAGATCCCTAATGACTTCACTGAATCCAGTAATGAAAATGGATATTAGAATGAATAAAGCCACAAAGACATGACTTTTAGAAAGTTTGACTTGTCTTTTGAAAATCTCCAATCTTCATTTACCAATCCCAAAGCAAAAAGCATATATCTTCTTCAGAAAGTCAGCCATCAGTGGGCTGCCACAACTGAGAAAGAACTTGAAAATTAAGACCAGAACATTCCCTCATCAAAAGTTTTCCTATAGCAAGATGTATTAAGCTTCATAGCAGCATCCAAATTTCAGGAAAAGCAAACAGCTGCTTACTTATGACAGCTGACCATCATCCTTTTTACTAAAATGAAAAGATTGAATAATTAATTCCTATGTTGCAATTAAAGACACAGAATTAAATACAGACAGGGCAGAGTAACAGCTCAATTTGTTTTCCCCTGTGATGACCAAATCCGTACATCTAACAGAAGCACGTTTCAGTCTATGGAGAGAATATACTACACTCATTACCATTTTGCAGAACCATCTTCAAGAACATAAAAAACTTTGAAAATGAAGGGGAAAAAAAGACAGCCCACGCTTTCAACATCAACTTATTGCTTTGTTTTAAAAGAAAATTTCTTACCTATCTAGAAATATGTCTGGTAGAGGTGGATACGTCTGCATGTCAGGTACTCGCTCATGTACTATAACCATAACAAATGATGTAAAGCCAAACACTATGAAGACATAAACACAACTTAGAACTGTCTTCCAGTACTCTGGGTCCAGTCTTCTTGTCGAATGTTTGTTTTTTCCATTTGCATATTGATACTGATCACCGTTCAAGTCAGTAACTGGTCCATCATAGTCCCGAGGTACCTCACCATTGCAAAACCAATCTGTACCCTGCAGTGAGCCCACAGTAGCGCACACAGCACCAATGTGACTATCACTGTTGTATCCCAGCTCTTCTAGGACATCAATATGTTGCTTCTGTAGCTTCCGTATGGACAGCATCAGCCTTTTGATATCCCCCAGGATTTTGATTTCCAATGGAGGAGACCGTAAATCATACTCTGTGAGTGTCAGCAACGTAATTCCATCTAGTCTGTGTCTGTTGCACAAAATATCCACGTATTCACAGAAGCCTTCTTCCTTCAGCCACTTGGCCACATTCTTGGTAGTCCAACGTCGAATGCAAAGCTGGTTATTGCCTGCCATCGTCCTCTATCCACCAATAAAACTGACCTGTTTTACATTGGAGAAAGGGACAAGACCTCAATGTTTACTGAAGATTATTGGAACATTACTGTCTTTCATGCATTCTTAGATGCTTAATTAGCCAAAGATGTTTTATGTAAGTGCCAGCCAAAAACCAGGCATAATTTACTAGGTAAGTAAATATTTTTAAACAATTTTAGTCCAGTAAAATTAATTTTTACTTGTGAAATCACCCAGACTGAGAATATTTCCTTGATCTAACCAGTCTTTATTCATTACAAATGAAAATCTGAGTTTGTGAATTACACTAGGCAACAAGAAACAAAGACTACCCTGTTTAAATAGTAGCTTAATCATTATTCTTGTCTACTGCTGTAACTTCAAAAACTAAGGAGGGAAGTAAGACCAGCAGCCATGTAAAACTGAAATATGGCTAAAATAGTGTATCACAGGTCCAACATACTCCACTGCTTTAAAATACATATGAAAGCTTTGGTAGCAAGAGCTCCCACCCCAGTAAACCTAATGTTTGGTATCTATAGTCATACTGACCTGGGCCACCTCAGCTGTTAATGGTACAGTTGTCCAACTTAGATATGTATGTATGAGCTGAGTAATTAACATAGATGCTTGCAAATAATGTAGGATTTTATACTCTAAAAATAAAAGCATTGGAAACCAAACACTGTTTTTTATTTCAAAATATCTTTAGAAATGGTCATGATAAATAGAGATCATATCAAAAAAAATCTACTCTCTTCTTATAAATTTCTCAATAATCCTTTTCTTAACTCTAGAATATTGTTTAAGAAGGGAATTCAATGCGTCAACACTTTATTCATGTAGGACCAACAAGATACCATAACAGCTTCAAATGGTGGGGTTAGTTCATTGCTCTACAAATAATTTAGTGCAGTTAAAAACTAATAATAATAATCATCTCAATATCTTATGTGGAATATATGAAAAAAATAATAAGGTTACCAATGATGTAAAAGTATTAAAAAGCTTATTCAATATTTAAGACCCAGAGCAGTACAGAATGGATTGGTGCATAATTTATACTTGGTAGCTTTTGTACAGCCACTGTCTAAGAAACAGATACGGTTTCACAGCTCTTTCCTGTGAGAAAAAGCAATGTAATTAACCAGAATGCTTCAATCACATCAACCAAATCTCAGAAAGCACATAACAGTACAAAACATTTCTATTATTAAGCTCCTGTACACAGTAAATAGGGACTGAACCCAACACAGGCATTCAAGAGTTTTCAGCTCTTACACACACACAAGCTTTACTTCACCTTTTCTTTTTAAAAATGTACCATGCCTATCATCAGAAGCAGCACCTATAATGACTGAGTGCAACTTCTTTCACTGCAAATCTAACAGCACCATGCACCACTTGCTTCTGTATCAGAAAAGACTCTGCCCATTAACACTTCTCAGTAGAGCAAAAGAAGTAGTTCAGCTGAAAAACGGCAGCACAATTCAACGTTGCCCTTTTAAAGGCTCAAGGGAGTGGTACTTCTTAAAATATTCCCTGTGGAATTGATAGTATATAAACAGCACGTACATTACACACAGATTTTATTTCTCAGAAGGCCACGTACAGTCAATACATATATAACCTTTAACATCTTGAATTAAACAGTTGCCAAAACATCCACAAACCATTACTCGTCTCCACATCTACTATATTCTTCCTTCTCCATGTAAGAGTAGAGTTGATCATTTGTTACCTTAATACTATTGAAGATCTTGCTCAAAGCAGCTGTATCAATATAGCCATTATAAAACAAGTAACAATCTGTAATTAATGAATGGTTAATTGACCTTTTTATATACTTAAAAAAAAAAACTTACTCCACTAAAAAGAAAAAACAGAGTTGCTCACTGGAATTTCCAGCTTTCTTTATTCAGAAGTACAGATAAAGTACACCCACAGGTCAATCTGTGCTTTTATAAGACTGTAATCATTACACATGTTCCAAAAGCGGTGAATTTAGACTCACCATAAACACACTCAACTTACTGACCTGTCTTCTAATCAAAGCACTTTCTGAGGGCAAGTTCAAGAAACTCTCTTCACCCCAGCAAGAATTTTGTTCCTTCGGTAACAGAATCTCAACACTCAGTGTTTCTTCATATAGCATTTCAGAAATTTCAATAAATGAATGAAATAATTAATTAATAGAAATCAGCCCTTGCATGGCATGCAATAAACGTGACCTCACAACACTGAGTAAGCGTACCCCAAAGCCTCAAAGGTCATTACTGACTGGGCAGTCCAGGGAGAAAGTCTGTATCAACCTATGATGCACCTGATAGCACCTGCTCCTGTTTTCAAATACTAAGGGAAGATATTTAGCCAGCTAGAAAAGACAAAGACAGCACTAAAACACTAAGTTAACCATCCCACACAACTCATAGCTAACTTCATTGGAACAGCAGCGATTAAGACCACCTTTGATGATATTTTCCTTAAACTCAGACACTGTACTCTCCTTTGAACTATGCACTCAATGCCACTTTCATGTTTTACACAGTAAAAAGCACATTTTCCTAATAATCTTAGCACCTGGAACACAGCACAGATCTCTATGCCAAAATGTTCATTTTCTAGGCTTAAGAAAAATGCTAGCTTAAAAGACAGAAGCTGAAATATTCTATATACATAGAATAATTTAAAACCTCATTTTTTTCCTATAACTTTCATGTGATTTCTTTTATCCCACTATTAACTGGGAAATATTATGAAGCATACATACATGGAGTCTGCACTGAAGTCCAACACCAGCAGCCCAGGCTGTGTAACCAACCAATGTAACAGAAGAGTCACCCAGATGACTGTACGTACCTTTTGGAAGAAAGCAGCACCAAGAGCCTCCTACATTACTGGTTTTTATCTCCAAAAACAAACAAAGGAACACATGAATAACATTAAGCAAGCGCAGACTTAAGTGTCAGAGGGCAAAATATACTTTTCTCCTGACATCAGCAATGTCTGCAGTGAGCTGGTTGATTACTTTCCTGTTACTGTTGACTTTATATTTAGTCAGCTCATCAGCAGCACATATCATGTGTTCTATTTCCCCTTTTCCTTCTCCAGTCCTTCAATTAACAGCATGAACACAACTGAATGCAAACTACTGCAGGAGGAACAGGTGCACATTCAGATACAGAAAATTCATCTATCTCAGAGTTATTACCCACAGTTCTAGCATGTTTTTCTGCACTAAATTACCTTTAGTCAACCACTAAGCCCGTAACTTCTCCAGCACACAATGAGTCACTGTACTGAGGTACAAAGGTGGAAAGTTCCTGCTACAGTTGAGAGACAGTAGCAGTATCATTACACTAACATGAGGCAACAGACCTGATACGGAGATGCAGATCACATACACCAGCTTCACAGCAGAAGGGTTAAGGGAGAAGGTGGCAGTGCCCACAGCAGGCTCAGCAGGGTGCTGTCGGTTCACTGTGCAGAGCCACCATCACTGTACTGCCCTGCGTGCTGGGCAGCCTGTGACCCCTTGCTGTCACACTTCTTGATTGTCATTTCCAACTAGTTTCAATTCTTGCCATCCTTGAGAAGAATTCTAGGAAGGTGACTGAAGAACAATCAGTTCTCAAGGGATATAACCTATATTTCTTCGCAACAGTTTTCAAGCTGAAGTCTGAATGTAGGTAATTCCAGCTCAGGCCCCCTCACTGACTCAGCTGGCTGAGGAGCACCACATCTCACATTTTGGGAGAAAAGATTTCCATGCAACATCTGCTGGTGTGCAATGCAGGCATGACATGGACTCTGCTGCTGCACAGAAAAGCCACGCAAAGTAGCGAGTGCTGAGCCAGCTGTCCAGCTCAGTCAGCACTGCTGTGCTGGAAAAAGAATATGGAGAACCACTCCCTTGTCACACAACAGCAGTTTCATATTCTGTGGCTGCTGCTCATCCCTGGCTCTTTTTGAAAACCCTGAGCACTTTGAGGTTGAGAAATAGGATAGACTTCCTGAAGTGAGCCCACAGTAATTTCTCACGCAGAAATGCTCCTGTAAATCCTGCTTTCAGTTTTACTGAGTGACGTTGCTGTCAGAGTTGCTCCGTAAACATTTCTACTAAGCGACCTTATGGGCAGCATTACAACTGGTCTGAGAGAGGTCTCCGTGCAACTCACAAAAGTAAGATACAAAGTCCCACAAAGTAATACCTGTTCGGCTTACTGTAAGCCTCAGATCATCAAGGAAGATTTGCTTTTCAAGAATGGTTCAGTGAAAGCGCTGCATGGTGGAAAATAAAGAACTGACACAGTAAAAGCAAAGATTAGCTCCATATGCTTAAAGAGCCCTTCTGATGGAATGCCTCCATGCGAAACTGACAGCAGCTATTACATATGATCCTGGAAGCTAAACTCATTTGTCTTGAGAACCACTAAGTGCGATTACACAGCTCAGCAGCTGAATAGAATACATACAGCTCCTCGAGTGCCGCACCTCATTAAACCAAAAGGCTGTACTACACTCAAGCGAACACTGAGAGCATCTCCACTTCTGATCTGCTAACCAGCTCACAAAACGTTTTTCTATCCTACCACAATCATTCATGGCATATACAAGCAACTTTCAAAGCAACTGGGAGAAAGCACTCCCCCACTTCACTTATCTTAGAGTGTAACTCACAGTATTTCATGACAAGACCTCACACAAAACCTTGAACATTTCACATGCTAAATATCAGATATCAAGGATTTTTTTTACCAATTTCAAAAAATCCCACATCCAGCTCCTCAGAGAACAACAACTCAGATTTGCTGCTTTCCCCTTTTTAATCTCTTTTTCTTTTCTTCTCACACCTCATTTTTGTGTAAAAACAGTGGAATACAGAAACAATCCTGCTATCCGCATTAACATCAGAAGAGTATTTGTAGTGGAGCCATGTTTGCTCTTTCTCGACAACCCCTGACAAACTGATCTCCCTACTCCAACAAAGATCGGAGTCTTCCTCACTTTAAACGCATTAAGACACGCAAGAAATCAGAAGCTTTGGGAAGCTGTGAGTATCACGTATAAGGCAGCACAGCTCACAGCCTCACAGCCCTCAGCCGTTGGTGGGTGCATCACCGAGCTGCGTGCGAGGAGCAGCGGTGTTTCAGAGCCTGACGGATGGCAGCTCCCAGGCCACGCTGGGCTTCTAACTGCGCTTCTGGGGAACACGCAGCAAAAAGACCACCTTGTAAAACATGACGATTTCACATTTCTGCTTGTTCCAAGCCTACAGATCATTTCCTTCATGTGTAAGCACTGCTCTCGCGTCCCAAACTCACTGGATTTTCAAAGATGAGCAGCCCCAGCAGTACCTGAGCAGCGACAGCCACCCAACGCACTCCCCGGGATGGATGACAGTAGCACAGCCGCAACTTTCTCAGCTCACGGCCTTAACCCCTCCAAAATCCTCCCGGCGCTGCCGCCCGCCACTCCGCGAGGGGCTGTACCGGCACAACACCTTCCCGAGCCCCGCGTCCTCGGAGCCCCGTACCGCAGGCCCCCGCCGGGAGCAGCCCGCCCGCCGCGCAGCCTTTCCGCCGCCGCGCAGCCCGCGAGCGCTGCCCGCCGCCTCCCACGGCTTCACGGCAGCCCGGTACCGGGGACGCGCCCCCGCGGCCGGACGGGCTCCGGCACCCACGGACGACGCGAGTCCCGAGGCAGGCGATGCGAAGACCGCCGCGGAGCCTCCTCCTCCCGCGGCCCCACCACCACTGCCGCACTCCGCCTCACCTCAGCGGCGCCGAGCGGCCGTGCCGCAGCACCCAGCACCGGGGCGGCAGCGCCTCCTGTCCGCCCTGCCTCCCTTCGGCGGCGGCGGCCCCCGCAGCCACCCCATCCCCGGCAGGAAGCGGCGCGCCAGGGCGGCGGAAGGGGCGGGGCGGCGCGGCGGGCTGCGCGTTCGTGTTCTGCGGTGTGATGCTGCCGGGTGGCGGTTCTGAGTAGCCGTTCCGAAACCCGGCGAGGTGCGGGATCAGCCACCGCGGGCGGTTGGTGGTGTGTTTCCTAGCGGACGCCCCACAGCCCATCTGAGAACAGCCGCAGAGAAGCAGGGGTTGTTGCTCATCGAGATGGCAGCAGAACCTGTCCGAACTGTGGTGGGGGTACAGCATACTCTATGGAAATACAGCGTCGTTTGTTTTTCCCAGTACTGGCTATTTGGCCATCATTTGGAGTACGTTGGTACAACCTGGATGGGGGAAAGCTGGGGGAGTTTCTCACGCTGAACAGAATTGTCTCTAATTTTATTAAACTTACGGACACAGAGTTAACCACACATCACTTAAAAAAAACTGCAATAAAACAAAACCCACCAACAACAAAAACGTGCATTGCCAGGACAATACCCCTGTCCCTCATTCAAAGCATGCATGTAGAAAAAAATAGCAGAGCCCTTATAAAGCTCTGTTTCCATGTCACACCATTACAAAACATTCCTCTCTTCAGTTGTGCCATTATTCTTTTTGATGGCTGTAGAAAAAAAAAATACAAATCTGAATGCCAGCAGCAGGCTGATAGCACGCAGTCATCTGTCCAAGGTGAATCCCCAGGCGGGCAGGACAAGTGGCTGATGGAACCTCCAGGCAACTCCGGTGCTCCACAGCCTATAAATAATACAAATGGAGGGGATTGTAGGGGGCAGACAAATTAGACCCAAGTGACTGCAGAAATACATTTATTTTGTCTATCAGCTGACATTTAGCTTTCAGCCTTTTGCAGCATCATCATGCAGTCTGAAGAACATTCAGAAATTTCTGTATTGATGTAATTATAGTGAGGTCCCATAGAAGTCTCCTGAATTGTTGCTCCCTTTGAAATAAAAAACACCGTCGCCAGTGTCACTCCATTAAGTTAATGAGGTAAGCCTTTCAGAGAATTTAGTCTTGTTCTCTTTCTTCAGAGGAAAAAGGGGTCTTTTGCAATCCTGATGCACATGCAACTACAGTGAAACAAACAAAGGAAATTTTGCATTTCAAAATGCTTTACAGCAACATCAAGTTGACGAGTCAATGGGCAGCCTGGTGCAGCTAGACAGGACTGTATGCTCAGTTGTAATGGAGTGTGTCTATTCCACATAGATGAAACTGGACAGGCAGAATAGAAACCACCCTGCTCATTATTCATGCGCCAATGCTGGTTTGAAGGTGCTTATCTGAGCAGTCTGTTCCATCCAGCTTTTATATTTTACACCATACAAAGCATAGCTTCCCAAAGAAGTGCTGGAGTTAGAGGTGACCTCCCACTTTCTTTGCCAAGATCTGGTTGCTTCTGCAGGCAGCGCAGGAATTAAGGGCTGTTTCAGTCCTCACAATGGTCCCCTTTTTTCCTTCACCTGCATCAGATGAAAAACTGAAAAGTCCAAACATGCCAGTGACAAACTGTACTGCATAAAGGTATGATCTGGGAAATAAGCGAAAATGCAGCAGACCTGAAGATAACCTGTTAATAAGCAATTTTGCTTACTCCATACCCAGCTCATTTGCAATAAGAAATGAAAAATTAGAAGCCTAAAGCTTCTTATCCCAGTTCCCTACACTGTTGATTACAAGACCAGCATGAACCTACAGCCATGCAACTCCCTGAATTCAGACTCCAGGTTTAAAGTTGGAAAATGATCTCTGTGTGTACATATATCTTAAGTACACAGGACCCAAAGATATCAGCAACAGATGTTCATGCAGTAAGTCCCTGGTCAAGAGTGCTGTGTCAGCCATAAAAGTTGAAGAGAGAGATGTATGCAGGCTGGCCTTGCCTTGCAGGGATTACCCTGTGCTTGGCTGCTGGCCTGGTCTGCATCAGCCCTGTGGCATCCGCAGCAAAGGAGAGAGCCCTGCCCCATCTATCTGAAATAGTCACTGCCAGTGCCATTTTTCTTCCACTGAGTTTCAATGCCTAACTGATAGTTCCAAAATGACCAAATATCTGTTGAGACACTGTACTTCAAAACTGGTAACTACTTTTCTTTGCTAGCACTCGATGCTTTTTAAAGAGTGAATTATCTAGATACGTGCTTTAATTAGCAGAAATTTCCAATAAACCTCATTCTATCACTATGAGTTATGTCACCCCATGCTATGTTGATCTCAGTTTGACAGGCAGTGCCAATGCCTATATGTCAGTCTGAGAATTTATGACAAACGATGTGCTATTGAAATTTTTAGAACTACTGCAGATTGCCAAGAAAAAAATCTTTAGAATATTTAATTATACTGGGTTCATCTTCAGATTGAAAATTATTTATTCAGTTTACACAGTTACATTGATCCAATATTCAGGATGATATTTAATCACAAAAAGAAAGGAAATTTTTATTGAAATTTCCCAACCAGTTCCAATTGCAATTTATTATGAGGAAAGGAAAAAGATGTACGAATGTAATGCTGTTTTTCTTTTCAGTCTTTGTCATTAAATAATAGTGTTCACTTTCAATCATTTGAAATAATCAATCTCCAATAAATGTCAAGACCATATGCAGGAAATGGAGGCCTCAAATATAGAGAGAATGAACTGCTTAGGAAAATTCTCCTCCAGCAAAGAATACAGAAAAGAATAAGGAAGGACCTTTAACTAGAAGTGCTACTTGATCTACATCACTTTTTTTTTCTTCTTTTTGGAGATCTCTTCTCTCTACAGACCAAATCTTGCCATATCATGTTTGTGATCTCAGTATGTGTGTTGAAACACATCAAATCAGTTATGTGAACTTTCAAGCATCTGTTTTCTCTTTAACTTTCTTATTCACACCATGGAAGAAAAATGAACTGAATTGCTAAGTACTAATCAACTTATTTTTTAAAGCAGAAGATGAACTTTTCAGAGCAAAAGCCAAGAAAGTGAACACTATGTGCTAAAGCAGACAAAATTTGCCATGGATTACAGGCACATTAGTGTTGTAGAACACCAGAAAATCCTGTCTCACTTAGAATTGAACTAAATGTACCACAACTCAATTAGTTGAATTCTTCTTCAACAATTAACCATTCCAAAACACAAATCCTGAAAGCAGGCACAGGAGGGAGAGTAGCTGATCCTTTGAAAGTGGAGGTGGGTGTACCTATACAGCCAGGTTTGTTTATGCTAGCCGAGCTTCTGTGCTGATGCATTTTCACCGTAAATCTTTTTCTTCTTTCAAATAGGTGAAAAGATTCTGATCCCAGTTTTCATGGGAGAGACAAAGTTGCCACAGGTTGGCATTAAGTTGGGTTGACAGGAACAGTTAAAATAGAAAAGTATCCATGAGCACCCTGGTTTGACCAGCACACGTTTTCCTGGCAATGCCGTGCTGCGTGCTCATACAGCCCTCCTTACCTGCTACCAAGATTCATGGTTGCTACCTCTTACATTATTAGCCAGGGAATGTTTGATCCTGATCACTGCACCGAACACTACCTACAAAGTAATCAGAAAAGCATAGTCCACCAATTAAAAGTATGCCTTCTTCAGGTGCTACTAATCATGCATTAATTTCAGCTGGAACAGAAGCTATTTTTAACATCACACATAATTGCAAATGTTTGGGTTAGAGTTGTCTGCTGTCCTAACAGGTACCTTGGTACCTTGGAAAGCCCCTGCTGCAGATAAAGCTAGCTTCTCTCTTATTGAGAGTCTTCATGCTTGTTGCTTTTTACATCCACCCTGAGTAGCTTTAAAAGGGCCACAAAGGAAGTAAAGCTGTGGAAAACCAAGGCTACCTAGGCAAAAGTTTACACCTGGAGGGAAAATCCCACCAAAACTTCTTCAACAGTGGAAGAGAGCAAGTGTATTGTAGTAACAGACTGGAGGAAGCAGTAACTGCAGTAGAAAAGAATAGACGTGTAACATACAGCTAGGTTCATGTTCTTTTACTTGATGGAAAAAAAAAACAAACAGTAGAATCAAGAAATAGACTTCTCTTGGTTATTGATGATAGGCAAGACCTCATAATCTATTTTAGTCTCCTGGTGATTATATAGGTAGAACGTGATGGTGCAGTCCTAGCCCTTTAGCAGTTATACTTTTAAGTACCTCTGACTTACTGTTACTTGCTCTGCATCTTGCATCAGACAAGTTCCCATTTTTCCTTTATCAGGACTTTTATGGCTGTATAATGAACAGTCAGGCCTCACTAGCTGCCACTGCTGCATTAGGGACATCACTAAGGGCCATCATGACATCCTATGGGCTGGGGGCTGAAGATCTAGGGAGACGAACTGCAGGGAGCAGACTGAAACCAGCAAGGCACAATTAGGTCCAGCATGACAGCCAGCCCTAGGGAGGAGGCTCGAGGATGTTACAGTATGGGGGCAGTGGCGGGAGCTGCTGTCAGCACCTGCTCCAGCCCATCTCCCAGCCACCTTGTGACTGCTGTGGCTGCTGGCGGCACTCCAGTGCCCAGCACACTGCCTCTAGCTGCTGGGAGCAGGTCATTTCCCCAGCTCTCATATGTCTGAGGAGGAAGCATTGAGTCCCTTGGGCTCTCCAGGGCCTGGGACATGCATAGAGGACGTCCCCTCACTTAAGGAGCTGGAGCAGCTCCTGAACACTGGGCGGCCTTCTTGTAACCACGTTGATGAAGTGTGGCCTAATCTCTTCTTGGGAGACCTGTAAGTACAGTTGCACAGAATGACTGAGCTTTAATGCCATTGCTTTACATTATGCTTCTCCAGCATATTAGTGCCCCTTATTGATGTGGCAGTAGGCAGCTCATAGTTTTGCTGATCAATGTCATTTACAGTGCAGACTGCAGTTTCTGAGATAATTTTATGACTGATTTGATACTTGGTTCTCGTTTATTCCTTGGAAACTGTGCACTGGTTTATGTTGAGTAAGAGATGCAATCGCTGTGCTGTTCCTGCCCTGTGAGTATCTCTGTACCAATCTTAATTTGTTTATGTTGGTCTTCCTCTTAGAGTAACAGCTCACAACAGATTTGTTTTGTGGAAGATGGGTGTTACCCACGTTTTGAATGCTGCCCACGGCACAGTGTACAGCCACGGAGGCCAGGACTTCTATGGAGCTACCATTGATTATTATGGTGTGCCAGCACATGACCTCCCCAGCTTTGACATAAGCCAGTTCTTTTTCTCGGCGGCAGAATTTATCCACAAAGCCCTGAACACACCAGGAGGTATAGAATGATCATTGTTCACATTTGTATGTGTGTTGGCAGCCTTTCATAACCAGTCAGGCCCACGAGCTCACTGGTGCACAGGTCAGTACGTAGCCTACTGCCTGTACCTGCATGGCTGTGCAGGTGGATAGCTGCAGCTTGGCTCCAAAACAGCAAGAAAGAGTGAAAAGTTGATGTGAGAGAAGGATGAACAGTGGCTGAGAGAGACAGAGTAGAGAGGAAAGGAGTTAGAAAGAAGAGAGAAATATCAGGAGGGAAAGACCTGTTCACAGAGAAGAATAAAACATGTATCTGATATGGAAGCAGTCTTATCTGGTCTAGTCTTTTGACACCCTCTCGTGGCAACTATATTTGTCATAATAAATGCATAGGAAGATGACAATCCTGATTTCTTCAGCCACCACCCATGTGAAGAGGCCCACACACTGTGAACGATCTTCCTGTGAGAACAAGGCCTGCAGGGCTGTGCTCCCAGTGAGGAGATTCACCTTTACCCAGGGGAATTTACAGTGTGTTGCAGAGGAGACTGAGCGTCTTGGCACTGGTGCTATAAAACACTAATATGCATGTATTACATAAAAGACCGTTCCTTAGCATGAGTAAACTGGCACTGATGGAGCTCTTTCTCACAAAGAGAAATACAGCCACAACAAATCGACTTATTACTTAATGATGCTAGGCCAGTCATCTTTCTTGGTGGCTGATGTGTCAGTGCCATCCTTTCCGGCCAGGCTGCAGCATTCTTCTTCACCTAAGTGAGCCTTTCTGAAAGCACTGGGTCTGGTTTTCCTCTTGCTCACAGTAGAGCAACATCACTGCTTTGGTTTTTAACTAACCAGTGTTTCTGAAATCAGATTGTAACCTCATAACACTGCTCATACAAGTGAATAGAACAATTGCAAATTAGACTTAACAGTTAGCAGTTCATCTCTTTTTGGACTAGGTGATCTTAGTGGTCTTACCCAACCTTAATGATTCTATGATTTCATAATTCTATTCTATGATTCATGTCTATTGGAAGGGTAAAAAATAAATTGTTTGCTGTGTAATCATGACCAAACTGGAGAAGACAGGACAGAGTTGCCTTCTCTTTTAGTTTAAAACTTCATCCACCATACTGCTCCTCTTTTGTGGTTATAATTTGCCTTTCTTCTTCTTTTTTTTAAACTAGCTAAAATTTTGGTACATTGCGCAGTTGGAGTAAGCAGGTCAGCATCTCTAGTCCTAGCATATCTCATGATAAATCACCACCTGCCATTGATTGAAGCCATCAAAACAGTGAAGGAGCATCGATGGATTTCACCCAATCGTGGCTTTCTGAAACACCTGCGAAATTTGGACATTCAGCTACGGCAGAAGAAGGGCTGCTGAAAGGGCAAAACCTTTGCATATGCTTTTCTGAGCTTCAGCTTTGAGAACCACTGTGCGTACACTACTTCCCAGGATCAGTACATATTAAAAAAAATGAAGAAAGCTATGCATCAAAGTAAAACAACAAACAAAACCCAACAGAACTGTCAGTGGGTACATTCTGACAGCTGACTTCCTCCAAGACGAGCACTGCCAGAATCAGTCCCTAAGCACTACCTGCTACAGAGCTGTTGTGCACAGTGTGATCATACCAGAGGGCTCCACTGGAGCTGTGAAGATGGACTGAAGTTGTTCTTGATCTGTGCTAATGCCAGAGGCAAGTTCAATAATTGCATCTAGCAGTGCTGTGTGTTTGAGTCCCCTTTTCTCAGGAGTGTAACAACACCATCTTCTTCAGTTTGGTTACAGTTTTCATGAGAAAAGCTTGTTGCATTGCAGGCCTGGTGATGTGATAAGGACAATTTCTTAGGCCCTTGTGCTCTGCTGCATACACCTTTGTCTTTTATGGATCTCTTAAATATTATGCTGCCACAGAGAACTGTGACATATCAGTGGAATAAACTTCTGCACAGCTCTCTATGTGGTCTCAGGGTCAGCAAACCCACAAGTTTTTTTTATGTAAATATGTTGACAGCAAGGCACTATATATGATGTTGTGTATTGAGGATATTGAAAAAGAAGACAAGATACTTTAAGATACTTTGTAAGCATAAACTCATTAGTTCTGTGTAAGTGGCTTTGAATCATCTCTGTTTTAATCAGGTAGGAAACCTAGGCATTCATCATTACCAGGGAGCTACAGGCATATGTTTTCCTGTGTTTGCAAGCTCTTGCCCACAATAAATGTAGATTGCTCTAATGGCCTTTGGGATGTCAAATCCATGAAAGAAGCTGGTAAAGAGTAATTTCGGCTTCAAGCTAACAAAGCACTTACTTTGCAGCATCCCTCTGCTCCTTTACCCCTCAATCTGCAAGCAGGCTGCTGAGCACCACACTCAGTGACTGCACCTGTGCCCCAGCAACTTGAACCTGAGCAAAGACATTGCCCCCCATTGCCTGTACTCAGTTCCTTACAGCTTCCCAAGTTTAAGCTGAAACATAAGCTGGTCCGACTTATTCCTTCTCAAAGGATTAGTCCAGAACTTGGAAGGAAAAAAGCATCAAAGACTCAGGAAGTCCAATTGTTACTTTCCATCCACCTCTGAATAAGGGTGCTGACTCCTTACTACAGTGTCTTGTCTACATTCCAAATTTCAAAACTTCAATTAAAAATAAGCCTAAAGCCCAGACAGTCAAATCCCCTCCTGCCTAAACACTCTTTATTTGATTCAAATTCATCTTGTATTACTGTTTTCTAAATTCAGCCGGGAACCGAATTAGCTTAAGTCAATAGCTACGCTTAATTGATACAAGTTAGTTTTAAGCTGTTTTGAGGCTGTCACTTCTCCTATCACCAGTTAATCAGTTACTTAAGCAACTTGATTTTTAATACAGGAACAGCATTTGCAATTCATGCTACCATTCTACCTGAAAATTACCTTGTTACTTTGTGGTGAACCATGAAGCAATAATTAAATCTGTTTCTGTCCTTTGCTACTAGTTTGATTTACTGATTAGCTGCCCTTATGAACTTTCTCTACCAGATTGAGTAAATACATTTTTGCATGCTTGTTTGCATTTGAAGCATCAGGTCTCATTATTTCCCTTCTGCTGGAGGAGGCTTGCAAAGATTATTAGAAGGCATAAGTGATGGTGACTTGTGGATTGTAATTCTTCCTTCCCAGACCCCTATTACCCTGAATTCTTGAAGAGGCTCTTGAAGAGATATGGATGCTGATTCTGCCTAGTGGTTATGGGAATGCAGATATCCTATTCTGCCTAGTGGTTATGGGAATGCAACATAAGCATGAAGATCCTTTCAGAAGTTTATTCAACTGTCTATTCAGATTTTCCTAAGTCTTGCCAAGGAGATCCACTGGCAAGAGAAAGAGAAAACTTTGTAATGTAAAAAATGATCAAATAGAAAATTGCATTTAAACCCCACCAGTGCTAACATAATCTTTATACCTCACAAAGCAGCAGAGCAGTGGAGGAAGAGCTGGGTTTGCTTTGAAGTTCTCCATTAGAGATAGGATTTACATGAGTTAACATTTCAATATAATTTATACTTCATTCACATTACAGTAGATTTCAGTCTGGAAGTCTTTTGAAGACATGGCACTGAAAAGTCTGAAATTCACGTGAGTGAAATAAAGCATCTTAATGGCTTTAGGCTGGGCAAAATTAGACACATATGAGAAAGATTGATGGAACCTCCCATCAGGATAATGCTTTGTGTGCCCCTGAACATCTGTCCCACAAAGCCACAGCTGTGAAAGCTGCTCCCGTTGTAGATTAGTACCTGCTCTCTTACGTGCTGTTCATCCTATGAGAGCATTGTTTCACAAGGAGCAGAGTAGTGTTGAGTTGAGCCAAGCCAGTATGGCATCCATGCCACTAATGATATGGCAGTGATTTTGTACAGCAGGACTGGCATACCCCAGTGGATGGAATAAATTGCTTAGGAACTCTTTTTCAAGGGCGCTGGCAAGTCACAGAAGTGTTTTAAATCTGCGAAGGTAGTGTTGCCTATATTTCCTGTCTGCCTGCATTGCTCCTTTATATTCTGTGCACCGTTGGCTCCCGCTCCACGCAGGGAAAAGGATTCCCATCAACATACATAAAAGTAGTAAAATTAGTCCTGTAACCTCTTGAAACAGAAAACACTATCTGCTGTGGCTTGATAGGAAGAAAAGAGACCTTCTCCCTGGTCCATAGTGATGGGATGTGACATTAGTACTTCCCCTTTTCTACTGTCAGCAGAAAAAAATTGCATTTTGAATTTTGGTTTGGAGAGTTATGCTGAGGATCGCAAACAAATGAAAAATACTGCCTCGCCAGCAGCACTTTGTTTGGAATATGCACATGTCAACAGGGGATGTACGATGAGGAAAACTGAAGGTGCTGAAAGGTGCTCCTCATTGAGAGAGGGCCCCAGTCTGGAAGATGTTTAGATTCCTGAATGCAAGCTCAGTGCCTGCTGAACTAACCTGAGCATGCAGGCTCACCCATAGGGATCTCCTTACCCAAGATCCCACAGGTACTGTCAGTGTTTCATCCTCTTGAGACAAACAGGCACACAGGCCTTCCTGCCTAGGCTGGCCTTTCCTCAATATGGTCATATGTATATATATATATATATATATGGTATATATATATATGGTATATATGGTATATATATATATATATATATATGTATGTATGTATATATATATATACATATTTAGTATATACATATACATATTTAGTATTTTTCTAAAGAATGCACTTGACAAAATCCACAGCAAGGTTACCCAGGATGCTGCAGGACGTAGAAGTTTACAAACATTAGAGGACTAATGGGAAAAATTGTAGAGCAGAAATTTGCTCAGGGTTATGAAATACACAGAAACTCCAATGAGACCTGGAAGCTCATGAGCTGGAGGCTGGGAGAGCATTAGAAAGTGGTGTATCTCACACTTGTGCAGTCTCATTTTCTGTCTGCATCAGCTTACAGCCACAGGCAGACACAAGGACAGTGAATTCAATGGGTCTGTGTGGAGGCCCATAACAGCTGCTGCTCTCATGGCCTTTATTTTGAACTCGCCTCTAACAGGAGCCATCCCATTTCCCAATGGTTTATTATTAGAACTGGATCACATGAGACACTGGAGACTGTGTCTCCACTGCACTGACCAACATTTTTTTCTGTGGCGAGAACTCTGTGCTGGCAAGCACAGCAATACTGCTTCTGTGGGAAGTTGTGGGGGTGGTTATTTTTTGGTAAAACTTTGACTTAAAGCAGAACTTTTATTTCTGTGGGTGCTCCTGTTCACAGGGGAGGCAGCACTCAGCCCGCTGGGGGACCTGTCAAAGTGCATGTCACTTCTAGGGACAGCCACCTGTTGGGGACCATCAAGTGAAGAGAATGCTCCAGCAACAGCACCCCATGTGTGGCTACCGATGGGCCACTGCCTGGGGATGGTCAGACAGCCAGCCAGGAATGCAGCGAGTCCAGTGTTCCTGCAGTCCAAAAACTGCAAGGTGGAATCAAAGCACGTGGGTGAAGAGCAGCCTGAGCTCTACACAGGCTGTATGTAAGTGCTATTTGAGGCTGAAGGGCTAGGAAATGCAGCTCTCATTAACACATGCTGTCCAACTATTTAGTTAGCGCTGTTAAGCTTAGTTGCCTTAAAATAGCCTAAGCATAGAAGAAAGCAAAGGGACTGCTCATTAAAGGAAAAACAAAACACATTACAATGAATTAAAAAGAGAATAAAATTCTCTTTAATAATTTCCATAAATTAAAAATTATAGATTAAAAAAAGATTTCCTAAATGCTGCAATGTGTAACACATAGACCTCAAAGACTAAAAATTTTAAAAAATAAAATAATGAATGGTGGGAAGAAATGTATAGATAACAACAGTGTGTACATGTAGTAAGTAAGAGATGAACTTTCAGCTAACAGGAGTAAAAACATAGAGGTTTGCTAATGCAACAGTTCATCTACAACAGGGAAGTTACAAAGAATCAAAGCCTACAATCAGCAAAACTGCAATTTGTTCATACTATCAATGGAGTTTTCTTTATTCTGCCAGCTTCTTTATTCTAACATCAATAAGATCAACAACGTTTAAGATTAACAACATTTCAGAGTTAGGTTTCATGGCATCTTCTGGAAGTGTGGAAGAGAGAGGATTTGGAATTAGGGCACAACCCAGCGCTAAGCAAAGTCAACAAGCAGGGATTGTTTCTGTACTGCCATCACTGTGCCACAGCTCATACCAAAAAACCCAAAAGCAGAAACAAAAGCTGTCACTGCTCGTTTCTGTGGAACCAGCTATGTGCAGTTTCTCAGGAGCTGGATTAAATATCAGTCTAGAATTAAAGCTGTATTCCTTAAGGCATACTTTTCCTGA